ATTATTATCATCTTGCTTTATATGAAAAAAGCAAATGTATATGAACTTATGATAACCTCTTGAGCAAACCTAGCCATTCCAGATACCCTTCCCAAACTTTGTGTGAGAACCAGAGATGAGACATAATCTGCTGGACAAAGAATCTTCTGTATGCCAATGGGAAACCACCTGCCTGCCACTCGGAACTTCCCTATTGGTGATCTCAGCTATCCACTGGACAAAACCCTAGGAAGAAACTTTGATTATACTACCATCACCAATAGACAGTTCTGGGACCCCTTCTTTGTCTCCCCAGCATGGAAAACTGTCTGAGAATCTAGCACTCATTGTCTTTGCAACCGGGAAATAATCTTATCATAATCTTATCAATAATCTTTTTGGACTCTCTTTGTCTTCAGCATTCCATTGCTACACACTCAGGTTGGACACCAGCCCCTGGACACCTCTTGGCCCCAGAAACCACCTCTGCCAGCTCATTGGAAGCCCCAGGGTCTTCCTGCCCAGTTTGGAGGAGATCCCCGGCTGCATCATCACCGCCTCCACCAATCAGGGCACGCACCAGGTAAAGCCTGCCTTTCAACCAATCAAAGGCCTGGGAAAAGCTGATCAGCTTCTTGGCACCCACCAATCAGGAAAGAGAGTGAGTTTCAAAATGTAGCAATGTTAATGCATGAAAACTCTTGTGTATAAAAATGCCTGCTTTAGTCTTATGTTTTGAGCTTGTACCCTTTGAGCACTCGCTGCTGTACAAGTGTGTCTTCTGTGCAGATTGAATAAAGTCCCTGTCATTTGCCTTCAACCTGGTGAAATTTCTGTGGTTAGTGAAGCTTGCCAGGCATCCTTGGTATCCATGGGTATTTGAAAAACCTGAAATTGCCAGCATCACTATCACAAGGTTTTCTTGGCAAAATCTGTTCAATGTAGGTTTGTCTTTGCCTTTCTGTGAGGGAATGTGACTTGCCCAAGGTCACCCAGTGGGTTTCCATGACTGAGCCGGGATTTGAACCCTGGTCTCCAACAGTCAAAGCAGAGCACCATGTTGGTGTTCCAAATACACAGTGACTCATGCTGATGCTGTTTACAGTGTTGGTGCATTTTGTTTCTCAGTATCATACTTTGACAATTTTATGTTTACTATTTTAAGTTGTTTAGGCCTAGCAGTATTTCTCACTCACTACAGGATAGTGTGAATATGTTCTAAGGCTTTTATATGCATTGCCAACTTTAAAAAAGGCTGTGATTCACTTTAAGGTGATATTCATATTGCAGCAGTGCTCTGAAACCTGATCTATGTTAGCAAGATATGCCTGTATTTGCTCTTTTCCTTGCAGGGGCAGTGATGCTTGTAGGGTTTCCTTGCAAGAAAAACCTGACTGTCTTTGTATAGCTTTGAAAAATTATAGGCCATTCCTAATATTTTAGCTATGAGAATAACTTTCATGTATGTGAGTCACTTGAATGCCTTTTAAAGTGAATCTACAAAATATACATATCAATGGCTACCCATCACAACAGGTAGGTATTAAGTCCAGTATAACCTGTCCTTAAATTAGAATTTTTGGGAGCAATTATATTCATGTTTTGTTTGCCAGCTTTCTATAGGTATGATGGCTGTTGGGAAGTAGGATGGTAGAACTAAATTGACTTTTTTTCTTGATCCAGTGGTGCTCTTTTTATGCTCTTAGTATAAGTTTTAACAACCTGAGAATGAGGAAACAGGAAGTACAAATGAATCATGCATTTCCCTCGCATCCAGTAAATATCCAAAGGCACTCTAAGGGTCAATAAATAAAATAATGTTTGCAGAAAAATACTTCTGCTTTTCACTTGGTGTAAACAGAACCGCAAACAATGCATTCGTCACTGTCACCTAAGAGAAATGGTCTCTGTGGAAACCTGGAGAAAATATCTTCCATGCAAAATATATTCCATTGAGTGGCAATTAGAGAATAAACAAGCTGGCAGTTACAAACTTACTCCCAGGACCTTCTAAAATCTAGCATCTAGATAATCACCTTCTGGATTGTAATGTGTGTTTGATCCGTTCAGGCTTTGACACCATGTTAACGGCAGTCTCTGAAGATGTAACATGAGCACCTGCTTGTCCAGTTTTGATGGATTCATTTCAATCTATTCAGCTTGAGGATGTGGACAAGATTCTTGGAGAGGCGAGAGCGACCACATGCATCCTAGACCCCTGCCCATCCTGGCTTGTAAAGGAAGCCAGAGGGGGTTTAGGAGAGTGGGTAAAGGTGGTGGTTAATGCCTCCCTTCAGGAAGGCAACATTCCAGCCAGCTTAAAACAAGCTGTGATAAAACCGCTGTTGAAAAAACTATCACTGGACCCCACTCAATTCGTCAACTATTGGCCAGTTTCCAATCTCCCCTATTTGGGGAAAGTCCTGGAATGTGTTGTGGCCTGGCAACTCCATGAATTCTGGGTAGACACTGATTATCTAGATCTGGCGCAGTCTGGCTTTAGGCTGGGACATGGTACTGTGACAGCCTTGGTCGCCTTTGTTGATGATCTTTGCCGGGAGCTAGACAGGGGGAGTGTGTCCCTGTTGGTTCTGCTGAACCTCTCATCAGCCTTCGATACCGTCGACCATGGTATCCTTCTGAGATGCCTCGCAGGAATGGGCCTTGGAGGTACTGCATTGCAGTGGCTCCAGTCCTCGAAGGTCGCTCCCAAAAGGCGTTGTTAGGGGACTCCTGCTTGGCCCCATGGCCATTGTACTGTGGGCTCCCGCAGGGCTCAGTATTGTCCCCTATGTTATTCGACATTTACATGAAGCCACTGAAAGAGATCATCTGGATTTTCGGGTTACAGTGTCATTTGTATGCAGATGATGTCCAACTCTGTCACTCCTTCCCACCTGCTATTAAGGAGGCTGTTCAAGTCCTGAACTGGTGCTTGGCAACTGTAATGGACTGGATGAGGGGCAAACAAATTGAAACTAAATCCAGACAAGACAGAGGTACTCCTGGTCAACTGTAAGGCCGAACAGGGCATAGGGCTACAGCCTGTGCTTGATGGGGTTACACTCTCCCTGAAGGCGCAGGTTTTCAGCTTGGGAGTAATCCTGGACTCATCGCTGAGCCTGGAACCCCAGGTCTCGGCGGTGACTGGGAGAGCTTTTGCACAGTTAAAACTTGTGTGCCAGCTGTGCCCGTACCTTGGGAAGTCTGACTTGGCCACGGTGGTCCACGCTCTGGTTACATCCCATATAGATTACTGCAACACTCTCTACGTGGGGTTGCCTTTGAAGACTGCCCGGAAGCTGAAATTAGTTCAATGCTCGGCAGCCAGGCTACTAATGGAAGTGGGGTACAGGGAGCATACAACTTGTTGCCCCAGCTCCACTGGCTGCCAATTAGCTTCCGAGCACAATACAAAGTGCTGGCTTTAACCTACAAAACCCTGTACAGTTCCGGCCCAGTTTACCTTCTCCCCTATGAACCATCAAGAGTATTAAGGTCATCTGGAGAGGTCCTGTTCTTGGACCCGCCACCTTTGCAGGTGCGTCTGGTGGGAACAAGAGACAGGGCCTTTTCTGTGGTGGCTCCTCGGCTATGGAATTCCCTCCCGAATGAAATTAGATCTGCCCCCTCCCTCCTGACCTTTAGGAAGCTAGTGAAAACTTGTGGCTGTGGAACGAAGCTTTTGCAGAATGATGTCTGAGACTGGCAATCGGCCAAAGTTATTGACCACAATATATGGACTGAATATACGGACTGAGTTGGACATGATTTTATCTTGGCAAACGGTTGTTATGTAATTTTTCCTATATGTATTGGTTAATTTTAATGTTGATGTATGATACTTTAGATTTTAGTATTAGCATTGCATTTTTGCTGTCAGCTCTTCTGAGTCCCTCTATGGAGGTAGAGAAGATCGGGATATAAAGTTTTAAATAAATAATAAATAATAAATTTGTTCCCCATTTGTATTCTTTGAAAGATAGGCATATCTCAAAAATAGTGCACATCTCTATGGGTATTGTCATATTTCCCTAGTATTCCAACATATGTTCTCTTAAACATAAGCATAAACAAGATCAGCTTTTGAACATACTTGTGAAATCACTGATTATATGTAACAAACAGTTCCCTTGCACCATTCTTCATATACCAGACTGAATACTTTGAAGGCATTAGGTCATGGATGATCCCAGGGCAGGATTACACCTGGTTAATACTCCGAAAGAATTGTGAAAGAATATTCTAGGCTATATCCAAATGAGAGCAATAGGAAACCACCTCTGAATAAATCTTGCTATAAAATCGCTATGATGAGACTGTCATAAGTCATAGCCAATTTGAAAGAACAATTATTTGTCTTGGATACCCCATGATCCTACAATAATAAAATAGCTGCTTCTCTTCCTTCTTGTTTTCCACCAAGGCTTCCCTGGAGAAGTGTCACAAAGAGTCTTACTGTAATTGTTTATCATTCTTTTTGTAGTACTTTGTTCAGCTTCACTTTGGAAACAACAGTCAGCTTCCTGTGGTCTGCTCTCAGAAATGATGAAAGTTGATTACATGCTTCTATTTCCAAAACTCCCACAAACCTTTGCCAGTATTCTAAGCTCTGTGATGAATGTGTGTGAAATGTTTAGCTAGTGTTCATCCTTTAATGTCCTCCCACTCCAAATAGAGAAGGAACAAATCTTGGGAGACATAAGCTGTCCACCCTTTGAAGCAAGGCAGTAATTCTTCTTTGAGAGAGATTTATGGTCACTGCTTGACTGAATCCATAGCGAGGACATGTAAAAGCACCTTGTACTGTTGATTTCAGCATCAACTATCAAGGACATTTAAAGTGGTGGCATCCCTTTCTCTCACTTTGTGAGTTCTGCTGGGTCAGTGAAAATTTCTGCTTTAAGAATACATTATCCCCAAACCATGTCTTTTCTACGAACACACCCAACTGGGACATATAGTAACTTGTGACTGGTTGTTTTCCTAATTTGAGATAATGCAGAACATCCAACACAAAGTTAACAAATAACACAGATTTATTTGGAAAAAATTATATTTATATATTTTTATTGAACAAGTTTTTCTGAGTCACTTGAAAATAATATAGATAGTTGTCATGGCACTAGAAGAAATTAGACAATACTGTTTTTTACATTGCAAGGCAAAGAAGGGCAAGTGGTTGGGGAATAGGAGGATTGTAATTTTATTTGTTAATGACCTCTGCATATATGCTTCAAACATTGTTACCAGTCAGATATCAGAGTGAACATTCATTCAGCCTCAGTACAGCTTGTAGAGCACACAGTACCATTTACGTATCTACAGAACATGAGGTATAATAGAACACAGAGGTGTCATATCATCAACGGCTGGTACAGAATATCTAGAATATCTATAATCCACACTGTGCATACAGTATGTTAACATTACTGAGGTCTTCTCCCTGCAACAAACATACATTGCACCCGTATATATATTTACACACACACGCACACACTTGCACACAAACACACTCCAATGCACATTCATGTTTGAGGTAATTTTTCCCTTAAAAATTACTATTATCAGTGCACACTGTTGTCCCAGCACACTAAGGAACAAAAGAAGGAGTGGAAAAAGGAGACTGGAAGAGGCGAAGGACCTTTGGATGGGAGTATTATGTATCGATGAGGCTGGAGCATCCCATTTTTATCCCATTTTCATTGTGGTGGCTCCCTATCAAGAGCAACAGGCACAAAACACAGAACTGGGCCAAGGCAGGCTATGGCATGAAAAGATTAATGAACCTAGAGTAAAACCATTTGTATTATGATTAAAAAAAAATTCTGACATTCTTCAAATCAAACTAAACTTGTGCATTGCACTCTGGCACTCACATCAACAGTGGCTGTGACTTTGAAGACAACCCTTTTCTAAACTGAGTTTTGCAGGTTTGTTTTATTTGATTAGCTAAATCAGATCCTGGGATCAGACTTTTCACTGCTATTTGAATATTTGACAAATCTAGATTGGATTCAGTTCTATATGGTTGAGCATCCTGAACCTGAGCTCTGTAATGTTCTAAAATACAAAACTTTTGTCATCAGCTGAATAAGTTCACATTCAAGGGCTCAGTGCAACACTCTTGCTCATTTGTTTACAAGGTGGAAATGGATGGCTGGCTGGCTCTCCAGAGATCTCCTGTACCTTCCCCACAAATTACGGTCCCTTATGTTCTCAGTCTCTCAGATCCTCAGTCCCTTTTCAGACCAGCTTTTCATACACAGTATAAGTAGCAAACAAACAGCCCAAGACTGGAAAGAGATGTGAGGCTGGAGAGAGATCTGAGGATCTGTAAAATGGAGGAAGGCATGGTTTTCTGCCATTTCACAGATATCCCAAAATCCATAAATATCTGACAGTTGAAACTCTTCTGTTCCCAATCATTTCAGATAAAAGATACCCAACCTGTACTATGTACATTAATATGAAGATAAATGTCCACTGATGTTAATTGTACTCGCAGCCCAGTTCTATGCTTGCATAATCAAAAAGAAGTCTTGCTAACTTATTCCCAGCTCTGTACTCACTGAATTGTGCCCCCTTTATGAAATAAACCCACCCTGGATTACAGTTCCAAATTCATTTTTGTGCAGGTTAAATTTAAAAATATTTAGCTGAGTTCACAGCCTGCAAACATAGGGTAACATAGATGTAAGTCCAGGAAAATAACCATGATGTGAGAAAGCTGTGCAAGGCACCAGGCAGATCATGAGATTTGGTATTACAAAGCCACTGTGCTTGTCAGCAGGGTTTAGGAGAATAGCCTTTTTGTATTATAATTCCAGAACTCCTGGAGGCTGCTGTCTATACCCATTTGAGAGTTTTAAAAAGTTAGTCCAATAAAATTACCAAGCCCTAGTTTTGAGGGACAGAGCACTGAATAGAAGCATTATTATGCTGAGTGAGGATGGGTGGGATTTGGAGTGGAAAGAGTCAAATTTCCCCTCTAGATATTCCTCTTAGGAACAGAAAATCACATGAAGCAGTCAAATGTGCTAGGTTTTACAGTACAAATTAAAGTTACCATACATATTATGTAACTTGGAAACAGTTGGCATTTCCAGATCATACTTGCTGATTAGCTCACATTTGAATTAAAACAGATAGTTTGCCATCTGCTTTTGCTTGGAAAACAAAAACAAAATTAAAGCCAGAATGCCAAGTGATATTTGTATCAATGCTATGAAGAATTGCCACTGCCATGTTAAAAGGTGCATTTTTCCTTCTTCAGACCAGACAAATTCACTGAAGGACAATCAGAAATATACATACAGATATGTACATACAAATGGCCTTGGAAGCCACTCTCAATTCTTTATACCAAGATAGAAAGTTGCGCCATTTCTGAAGAAGAATTGGAGAAAAGCTCCTCTGTTTTTCATCTTGACAAGAAAACTATCCACTGTATCATGGAAATTCAGCAAAACTATCCAGGTGACAGTCATCCTTAGCAAATGTTCTCACATGGTGCTGATCTTCAGCCTTGTTTATACACCCAGTTTCTTCAAAGAAGACAAAAACAAATAGGAAACTGGGTGCTTTTTTTAATAACAAAAGAACAAGTCATAGGTGCTGCATGTGGTAACTACTTACCAGACAGCTTCAAGTATTTACAATACTGTCCTTTGAAATCACCTCCTTACAACAGTGGTGCGGTACCGTTGACAAAGTGTTTTCAAGCCTTATTCTCATGACTGTGATTTTCGGTCATTGCTTGGCCCTCACAGATCCATTGCCAACCTTCTCGGATCAGCCATTTTCTTTTTTAAGGCACTGCGCATACTCTGCATACTCCATCTCAATAGAGTTCTTTTCACTGGATTGTGCATTTTTCTCTCTCCCTTGTTTGCCCTTCTCTGAGGACTTTGGATTTGATATATTTCAGGTCACTGTTGACACTGGGTCGCCGAGCAAAGGGAGAGATCATGCCATAAGCATCTGACTCTTTGACTCTGTTCAGTTTGAAGGATTTTTGGTGGAAGGTGTCACCATACTGGACAGAAATCTTCCTGTGAAGGGCAGGACTCATCTCATGGGGCAACTTGGCCATACTGAAAAGAACATAGAACATCTCATTTACATTGGTGTTCTTCTTGGCGGAGACTTCAAAGTAAGCACAATTCTCATCACTGGAGACGAGCTTCTCGGCTTCTTCAGAGCTCACCTGGCGGTACAGTTCACCATGATCATGCTTATTACCACAGATCACCATGGGCAGGTCACCTGTTTCTTTAGTCTTGTTTTTTAGGCATGACTTGACTTCAAGGATCTGTTGCTGCAGTCTCTTGACTTCATCAAAGGATTCTCTGTTATCCAGACTGAAGACTAGGATGAAAACATCGCCTGTAACATTCCAACAGAAAGGAGAGGCAATCTGTTATGACCTATTTACCGCATATGTCAGAACACTAATCAGTGAAAAAACTTGTTTATATTCTATACAGTGTAACCAAAATATTCAAAAACAGGAGTTTGAATGAAAGGAATCCTAATTAGAGAACAGTGAAAGACCAAAGGAGAATATATATATATATATATATATATATATATATATATATATATATGCAATGTATCAATGCAAAATGATATTTTGAAAATGGCATAGTGATTTTACCTCCAGCCATGGTTGAAATTTCTTTTTGGTGTTATTGGCCTTTATGGAGTATATAACCACAACTTGACAAAATTACCATTTTCAGACTACAGCTTCAAGAATCTGCCCACTATCTACCTCATAAGACTGGTTGCTTTCCCTGTCTCTGCATGCTGCTGGCATGCCGTCGGGACAAAGTCCACCAGAGCCCATGAAATGACGCAGGGCTACTTCTGGTGAGGCTCCGCTGGGCTCCGTCCTGACATCACACTAAGAGGGAGCCCTGAGAAGATGGCTGACTGAATACCCGTATTCTCACTGAGGGAGTCAGGGAGAGTATGCAAGGAAGTCAGAGACAGCATGGAAATGTCATGGAATGGCAAACCCATGACCCACAATGGTAAGGGCCCACAGTTTCCCACACTCTCCCCTGGCTTCTGGATCTCAAATGCGCTTGGAGACATGGGATAAAAAGTGTATGTGATGAGATCCTATGGTTGCTGAGGCAGATATCAAACCCTCCAACATTTCACAGATGAAAATTAGGACATCTGTGACCAAGCAATATCAAGATGGCAAATGTTATCATTGAGGAAGAATCCATAACTACAGCATTTTGTTTTGGCCTGAGCCTGTTGGGAAAGGTAAGATTCTGCCCCCGCTTCTCTTTCTTACTTAGTTAATTGAATGGGAACTACTTTTGAATTTTCAACTCAATTAGTAGCAATAGAAATAAGTTGAGAACAAAGGAAGAACGTGGGAGGAGAAGAGAGAAACGGGGACAATTTAAATGCAGCTGAAAAGTGAGACAACAGAGGATTAATCCAGACTGGAAAACTGGGACAATTAGAGGGTATGACACATCTCTTATAGAACCCCATCATGAAAGGGAAAATATGCATTTCTTTGAACATCTGGTTTGACCCTTGATACTTCTGCCTGGGCAAAATGCTGCAGAGAGGTTTTTTATCCAGAAGATGGAGGTCAATTCTGCAACTTTTGATCCAAAAGAAGTAACTTTGTCAAGCTCTAAAAGCGACAGCTGCAACATGAGTGTTAATAAACATGAGTGTTAAATTTTTGCTTGAAGTTTCTATTTTCTTTTTCCCTTTTATTATTTCCTTCTCTTTCATTCCCCTTAGCAGCATCCTCCAGACACAACAATGCCGCAGTGTTAAATGACCTCCTTCCCCACCTTCCCTCTCCACCTAAACCACATGCTTTTCAAAACATAAAAGGACCCCAGTTAGCAGGATTATCACCGCTGTGATACAGTGCTCCTTACAGTATTCAAAAAGATATGGGACTTGACTTTAAGACCTAGATTGATTCAGCATCTGAAGAATAAGCTAAAGGGTTTTTTTATACACATAGAGCTTTACTAAATCCTTAATGTTTAAATGTTTTCCACTAGAATGAGACAAACACAGGTTTGCAAGTTTAACGACCTTTCTGCAGAAACGGTTTATCACAATCATCACTTCCATACTGAGCTCTTTTCCTGAGGTTTTCTGCTATGTGTCTCTTTGCAGTATTTTTGTGGAGGTACGTTATTTCTCTATTTGATTTATTGCTTTATATCTTGCTTTTCTCCTGAATGGAACTCAATGTTTCTTGAGATGGCAATGGTCAAACTAGGTGTTTAGAGGAATCCATATTTTTTTAGTTCCACAATTTGAATTCACCAGAAAAATGTGCCTCAACAGTTGAGGTTGCAAATTAATCTCACATTTACCTAAATTCAAAGTATATAGTTGAGAGAAATCAACTGAAGGAGAAAGTATCCTAAAAAAATAAAATATATAACATCTAGTTTGGCCATTGTCACCAGAGGCATTTTTAGAGGAAAGCCATTGCTAAAGTGTGGAGCTGTGATACATGCACACCAGCAGCCATTGGTATTAAAACATGATCTTTGCCAATGAAACACATCACTTTATGCTAGAAATCACTAGGGCTGGGAAGAGCTTCTGTTAGAAATCTTGTCACTATTCATTGAGGTTTGGTTCTCAGGTATAACTCCTGTATTTCCTTCATTCTGGAACACACTTTCCCTTATATTAACATATTAAGCTTGTTTTCTTTTGGTAGTGCATCTAACAAATGTCATCTTAGAATTGAAGAAATATGGTATTAAATAAATAATCTAGAGATATGAAAACTACAGAACTACAAGGTACAATAAAAATACTGATAAAACTATTTCCAAGGTGCATAAACAACATGATAGGCAGTTACTAGGATGTCCTTCCCCTTTTAAAAAGACCACTACAATGCACTATGCAATGCATGTCTTTTGTACAGGAAATCCAAAGTTAAAATGTGCTTGGAGACATGGGATATAAAATGTATGCGATTTTGCCTATTATTTTCAGCCTTACACACACCCCATCCCAAGTCACCCCATACAATCAATCTCTGATGAGGGACTTGCTTGTTCTCCCCCAAAGTGGTTTGTACTGACTTGGGCTGACTTGAACAGCTATTAGTAACCCAAACACACAAATAAAAGTTCCAACCTGTGAGAATAGAAAGTCTTCTCATGGCAGGGAATGGGTGATTCCCAGAAGTATCCAAGATGTCCAGCTGGTACATGTCACCGCGAATGTTGTAGACTTTGCGATGGAAATCTTCAATTGTGGGTGTGTACTGGTCTTCAAAGCGACCATTGAGAAACCGTGAGACAATGGAACTCTTGCCAACCCTGGAGGCTCCCAGCACAACCATCCGGTAGGAGTTCTTGGCCGGCACACTCAAGGTGCAGTTCCCACTGGACATAGTTTTCATCATTGCTTGAATCTGCATGGAATAATAAAATAAATGTTTTATTCTTGACACTGAAAAGTTACAAGTCCAGAAAAATATGTAGAAATGACAGTGCAGAACCGAGACTCCAAGCAACAAATTCATTGTTAGGCAGAACTTGAGAAAGTTCCTTTTTTGGACTATAGTTCCCAGGAGCTCCCATTCAGTGTGATCATGCTGTTTAGGAAATTTTGAGAGTTATAGTCCAAATAAGTAACTTCTCTAGGCTTTGGCACTAGGATGAACTAAAGTAAGGAATCTACTGTTGGGTTGTCTCAGGACACACCTCTACCCTGACCCAAAATGTTCATACGTTGGCAATGGGAGCATATCAGGAAGGTTTCCTTACATCACCATCTCCCTCCTTGGCAGACCTGGTTTCATGCTTTGACACTTAAGATAAGAGTGTGCATTCAAATAGTGTCAGTGCTGCGAAAAAAACACAAAATTGCATGGAGATCACTTAAGAATCTTATACTTCATTTTCATGTTGCCAGATTGGAAAACCTGTATGTACCCCATCCCCACTTCTGTAGTGGAGATTATGTCCCCACAAAGGAAATCACAAAAAACTATCTTCTTGGGATGCTTTATCTGAAGACAGCTCAAAGAAGTATGACATGGAAATGCATTTTGCATTGTCTTTCCCAAAACAATAATGGCCCACACACACATAATACCTGAACAAAGAGTCCCCAGATGAGATAAGGAATGAAAAAAATTTTTTGCACATGATCAGAGCATAAACATGCTAGACACTGAAAATTACGGGAACTCTAGTGCTTTTAAATGTACTTTCCAACTACTAAACTCACATCAAGATAAAAAGGAAAATATAGAAGGGTACCCTATAATAAATGTCACACAACAAGACACACTTACAGAGCTTTGTTAATTTTGATATTAAATGTATTAGTTCACAGAAGTAGCCATATTGTCATGTTATAAAGGTAGCCATATTGTCATGCTAGTAGATGCACCATGCCTCTGTGAACTCATGACAAATTTTGTCTGTTTGCAGAAGCTAAACAGGGCTCGGTGTAATTAATACTTGGATTGGAGATTACCAGCAAGCCCTAGGAACCTCCAGGTAAGACTAGGAAAGAATTTGACCTGAAACATTGAAGAGCTGTTGGCAGGTTGAGTAGACTATTCTGAGCTTGATGGAGCCATAGTCTGACTCATGGTACTAAAGCTTCCTCCTCCTTTCTCTCTCTCTTACACAAACCATCTCCACCAGCTGTCTCAATCTGACAGGGACAGTCCCAGTTAATCTTGAGAAACTTACTTTTTTTTAGCTCCTTTTCAAAATATCCACAATTTGGGGGTTTCTGGCCAATGTAGATAGGGTTTTAGCCCCCTGTAATGCTACCTGGCCAAATGTGTCTCATTTTTCATCTATGAAATATAGGAGGATATACACTACGTGCATTCATGCATGTGCATGCATGCACACACTCTTATTGTTGCATAAATATATGTTTAGAGCTCACTTCTCTAAATGCAGGGCTTTGGCAGATGCATATCTTTGCATTGATATATGTGGCAAAAGCAGGGGGAAGCTTATATTTAGGCTTCAAATATGGAAAGAGGTCCAGTTAGTTCCGTTTCTAGGTAAAGCTCAAACAAAGTTGTTGTGAAAGAAAGAGTGGCTTATTTTGTTATGCACTGCTTATATAAGACTGGGTTTTGGATTATATATGTTCCCAGATCTGGTTGCTCATCTTTGTTTATTTTCCAATCTTAAAAAATGTAATATCTTGACTCATTTTAAAGTTCTGTATCAACAGCAAAACAGCTGTTCCTACTAAGAGCTGGGGGAGCCTGGGTCACTTTTCTCAGATCTTGGCAAGTATACTTGTGAATTATAGCTTCTCAAATCAAATCCTCCACCCAGGGTTCTTGTAGGCATAATGACCTTCCCAACTACATCATTACAGCATATACCGATAACCATGTGTGGGGAATGCTTAGATTTTGTGCTTCTGCAAGGCAGGGGGTTGGACTGGATGGCCCTTCTGATCTCTTCCAAGGGTGCATCTACACTGTACAATAATGCAGTAATGCAGTTCAATTGTCATGGCGCAATGCTGTGGAATCATACATGCAGTTTTGTGATTACCAGCATTCTTTGGCAGTGAAGGTTAAAGATCTTACTATAACTCCCCTGATTCCATAGCAATAGCCATGGATAGTGAAGTGGTGTCAAATTGCATTAATTCTAAAGTGTAGATACACCCTAACACTATGATTCTATGAGTTCGTTGATACCACTTTCACTGCATGGATGCATTCTACAGAAACCTGGAATTTGTTATTTGTCAAACACTAGAGCTATTTAGCAGAATATTCTAAATAATTCACAAAAACCCAGAGGATGGAGCAATTAAAGTGGTACCAGACTGCTATGATTATGTAGTGTGAAAAAAGACTGTAGCCCAATCCAATAGCTTTTTCAAGCTCTTAAGAGAACAATGTATGAATTAACTTTGGTACAGATTTTGTTTTGTAACCCTAAATAAGGCAGAACATCATTTTGTCATGGCCAATATAGTGTAACAGACAGTTTAATACTATATAAGAACATAGGGAAGGCAGAAAACTGGATGGTCAGAGCCCAGAGGCAAAGCTCCATAATGTGAATTGGAATAAAACTATTATTTCAAGTATACTTAGGGGAAACACATTTTTACTGAACCAAGGAGTACTGTTTTTCATTAAATGTTTTAAGACACACAGAATTGTTCCTGCCTCAGTGTGAAACATGGAGGGATAGCTGGTCCTGATGTAGATTTTGATAAATAATAGCGTTTTAGAGGGATGCTAAGTAGAATGAGGCGCTTGCCTTAGATTTTTGATGTCTTAAAAGGGCATAAAATTGAGCAAGGAAAGGGAGGCACAGAATAACTTTGGTATTATAAGTACCATGACTTGGGGGAGAAGAGACATTGTTTGATGTTCTTTTCAGAAATCACAGGATGACAATTTGACAGCCAGATGTGAACAATCCATTGCAAGGTTCATGTGTAAAGCATCTATTAAAGTTAGAACCAGGTAGCCACACACCTGTGCATGGTTACCCTGTCTGGTGAACCACCAGGGCTATGATTTGGAACATAAATCTTAGGTTGTGAAAAACTTCCAGGTAGTAGAATGTCTCCATCCACCCAGGTTAAACATTGTATCTTCTGTGGATTGCTGCGAGTTTTCTGGGCTGTATGGCTGTGTTCCAGAAGCATTCTCTCCTTAGGAGAGAATGTTTCTGGAACATGGCCATACAGCCCAGAAAACTCAAAGCAATCCATTGATTCTGGCCATGAAAGACATCCACAACACATTGCATCTTCTCAACAACAATAGCTACCAAAGATTCACAGTGTAGACACCATGACAGAAGATAAATGAAGATGTAGACTTTCACACATACTACTATATAGAGAGGTGCCAGATGTAGAATAATGAATATGTAACAATATATGTCATAATAATTGGGGGAAATGTAACAAGTAACTTTATGTGTTTGTTCAGTCTTCTGTTCAAGTGGTCACTGTTGATGGACAACCTTAGGGTACTTACTAACTCTACAAATTTTATCTTTGAGTAAAATGTTTTAGGCTTGTACTCATGGGAACAGTCACTTCCACATAGATTTCACTAAATTTATGAGACTTATTTATGATACTTGTTTAGGATTACAGTGGGCCCTTGGTATCTATTGGGGTTTGATTCCAAGAGTCCCCCATGGATAGGAAATCTCATCCCCCATGATATACAATAGCATAGTATATTGGTTCTCATTATATAAAATGGCAAAACCAAGGTTTGCTTTCTGAACTTTTCTTTAAAAAAATATTCAAACCATGGATAGTTAAATCTGTGGATACACAATCTGTGGATACAGAGGGCTGACTGCACATTGTTAAAACTTCTTGGCAATTTTCTTGATTTGAACAGAAATTTGGAATTAGACCTCACAGTCAAGATACCTATGGGAATTAATACCATATGCCTGTAATGCACAATTCATATTGATTACTGACAACATTTAAATGATATTGAATGCCACCTATAAGATACCGCCAAATAACAGCTGTGAAATATCAAGTTCTGAAACCAATTCATATCCAATATTACACATACGTAATATTGGATATGAATCCAATATAATTACTAAATATTTAACGTAGGTTAAATATTTAGTAATTATCTGAAACCTGTTTCATGGCAACATTTGTGGGTAATAATAATGATTTCTTGAAGACGATTCATTTTAATTGGCTTCCAAAACGATTTGTTGACTTCATTTTCCCATGCTACAGTTCCCATGCCAATCTATAGCAATGTAGTGATACAATGAAAAATGCTGAAGTATATGTGCACATTATGACAGCCTCCATAAACCCCACTCAGTAGGACAGTTTGAAAAAGTGGGTTACGGTGTCAATCTACACCAACCAAGTCTATAATTTTTCAACTTCACCAGAAGTAGGCATTTTGTAAAGCGTACTTCTGAAGTACTCATTCAAAATCAACTAACGCAATGTGTGTTATGGTACAAACAGCTTGCAACAATATAGTTTTGTTGTGTGTGTAGAGAGGGGGCGGGGAATGAATTTTCTAGCAAGCTATTGTGGGGATAGAAGTAAAATGTCTAAGTGATACAAAAGCCCACGCAGAGGATGCCAACATCTCTGCCAGTCAAAAACTCCTCAACCTTTTGTACTTCAACCCTGTGCAACACAATTCAACTACAACTAGGATAAGAACTAGTTTTTGTATAAAAATAAGAAAATGGTTGAAAAGAAGGTTCCAGATAAACAGGCATAGCCCTAAATCCTACTTTTACTCCTCAACAGATTAATCGAATCAATAGGATTTGCCTATTTGATAACTCACAATTCCAACAGTTAAGTCAATGGATTTACTCCATTTTGACAAGGCTCCAGCCACTGTGTACCCAATGCAACAGTCTTCAATGGATTAAAAAATACAGT